TAGATATCCTTACATTAAGATATTCATTTCCAGCTATCACCAAATGTGCCTGTCTGCTGATATTAGGCAGTAAATTGGCCAAAGTTGCCCTCTTGCCCTCTTCTAATTTCAGAGCTTCATCTGCAGAAATCTCACGAATTCTGGGTGCATTTGGATCTACATCAGGTAACAAAGGTTTGACAAATGCATGGTGATCAAAGGTAGAAAACACCTCATTCAAACATGCAGAGAGAACAATATGGAAATCAGGGCTATCGATATACAGCATGGTTTAATAATCAGCTTACCCATCTCTCTTGTGATATTTCTTACCTGTCGATGAAGTCTTTTGTTTCGTCTAATAATCTACGAAGTGATAGTGTGGATGTACTATCATCAGGAATACTGTCAAATCCAGCCCCCTTCAGGAACTCTGCTTCTTCTTCCTGTGTATCAGGTAACAACCATGTGTGATAGCTATAACCAAAGAAAAACGAATGATTAGTTTATGTTGATTCACTCCAAAATGTACTCATACTCAGTTGGTTTGCCATCTTCATATTCAATCTTTCTTCTCATCTTCTGTATCATGATTTCAGTATCATGATAGTTTAGACTAGTCTTCAATGGCATACTAATAAACAGAGAGCAGTTAATTATATGCTCGTTCCAGACATTTAGACATTCTTACCCTGATATCACTTCCTCCACAGCCTCTGTGATCTTGGCTGCACACCTTCTCCAGCCGCGATGAAGTAACCACCAGCTAGCACTGAGGAACATACGCTCTACCTGAGGATCAAGGAATCTCCTATCTACCTCCTCTACTTCGTGCTGTAGTCTGATGGTGGGTTCACTTTTATTGAGTATAGAGATAGACCACATATAAGTAAATCGGCCGAGTAAATTCAATTGAATGTGGGTAAGTAGTGTCAGGAGAGTGATGGAATAAATGGAGGTGAGAGTACGGACAAAACCTATTTAGAATAGGTTAATGATTGGTTATTGCAAGTACTGTCTACACTTACTCATCACTTTAATGTCTTCCCATATCACATGTTTCTCTTTCTTGCTTAGAATACCAGGTGGCAGAGGATGATTCTCATCCAAGGAAATTGAAGTAGATAGACTGCTCATACTAGTATCAAGTATGCCTTTATCCTGCTTATTTGCTTCTATTGTTGGCTCCTGTTGGTCATTGGGTGAAGGTATGATCTCAATACTATCTTTCAAGGCAACACTTTCTTCTCTCAATGAAGCAGCCAGTTCCCTCTCTTTTCTCAACTTATCCTCTATCTTCTCCAGTTTTCGTGATTCCTGAAGTTTAGCCCACTCTGCTTCTATATTCATCTCATGCAGTATCTGATCTCCCAATGAGGGCAAGAGAGATAAAACTGTAAACACGCAATCATTCTGGTTCTGTTGAAATCTACGTTTAAGACTATATATAGAATGAATAAGTGTTCTCTTCGGTTGTGTCTTCTCTTACTTTTCCTTGGCCATTCTTTCGGCAGTTGTCCTTTCTTGAATCTCCATAATTTTGGTGGTGGCATATTTACCAGCTAAATAACCTCCACCAGCAATAGTGGCTGTCACCAAAAGGCCTGTTCTGTGTCTTTTGATATAATCCTTCACGGAAGTAAGGAAAGTCATCTGATGGAGTGTGCTATAGAAACAAATGGTCTGATATATGCTTTCTATTTCATATAGATGAATGTTTCGTCCTGGGGAAGTCACACCTAAAACATTCATGATTTGTCAACCCATTTGAACAAAAATGAAAGTCCGCAAGTAGTCATCTCCACATAAGCAAGAGAACTTACCAATTATAGAATCTCACTATAGATGACAATCCTGCATTTTGATATCTAATTCATTCTTCATGCTGGTGATCAAGTATAAGGGCTTATAAATATACCAGGAACTAAAGTTTGTGATTGCTTTGCATCTATTTCCATTGGAACTTTGTATCAAAAATGGAATAAATGGACACCGAGGAGGATCAATTCAACAAAAAAACATCATCTATTAAGAACCTGGACAATATACCGAGACCATAAGCTGGGACTGACATACTTGATTTATTCTTTTCTGCTAGAAATAGAGGTAGGAAAGTACAATGGTGCTGAATATCCTATTTGTGATACTTGATAGGAAGGACGACAATAGAGGAGATCGGCGAGACTTGATGGCTTCAAAATTGATTGCAGGCTTATCTCTTTCTCTAGCGGCACATTTATCCATCTGATTGCTATTGAGGCAGCATATGACAGTAAAGAAGATCAATGATAATCACCCGAAAATAGGAGTAAATGTGATAGGTTGAATCTTCAAGAGCTCAAGTACATTCAATCACAAGCAACATTATACCCTTACTATTTACACTCTGTCTAGGTCTATCATCTAGCTGTGTTTATACCACATGTAAGAAGGCCTGCTTCATCATAATATCGGAATAATATTTAAGCAGAATGTATTACTGAATCCAACTGATTCCAACTGATACCATCTACTCGGCTCCGACTGTACCATTCAAATCATAGGAATAATTCATCAGTAACATCTGTTTATATACCTATATATATATGTATATATGTGCTTAATACACAATACTATCATATACCATTCGGATCATTATGTTTCTTCAACTGACCCATCATTCTATGCATTCATGTAGACCGGATAATAGTATATCTTCAACCACTCACTTATGGTAATAGCCGAAGCAAAATAGAAATTTCTCAGCCATCAAATAAAAGACAGATATAGTATTTCTGCATGTCCAACTCCAGGAATCACCTTTCTTTGATTGACATTGACCTTGAACTGTCATCATCAATTGAAATTGAGTTCAAATAGCCAGAGAATGAGGATGAAACTCCTTATCTTGAGTGCTTTCATTGGATTTGTTCCTACTTATCTAATATGATATATTGCCCTTATTTAGTCAAATATGCTCATTTAACCAATGACTAGTGATTTTCATATGGTTGATTTGACATACTGTGCCTACCATATCATTTGTCATATAAGATGATTCATGATATCATGAATTTCAATTTTTCTGACTCCATTCCCCCCCTTTATATATTTGCCCCCTTCACCCTTATTCACTTCTTCCTTCACTCTATTATCGAAAACATGTTACGCCCACTTCTCAGATTATCCAGGCAGCCAGTAGGCCCTTCTCTCGCCAAAAGGGCAACGATGGTTACCACAAGCCGTAAAGCTAATATTGCCGAGCTTAATGTGACTGAGTGGAAGAATGAGGTTCCTGTAAATAATATCATCCACAACCACAACAGTAAGTTACCCGTACCCAGCTCTTATTGCTTATTAACATGTATGCCTCTAGACAAAACATATACTGTACTTCCTATCACATTCTGGATGGACAACATTACCAAAAAGAGAAGTTTAGTTGATAGTAACATAGTATTGAAGGATGAAGATTTAGAACCAAAGACTGTAAGGACAATTGACTGCTTTACAGTGTGGATATATACTAATAATCAATTAATTAACATACAGATGGCTGACAGTTATATTGAGGCATATTTACCACTCAAATCATCACCCTCTTTACTGGACGCATATGTAGGCACTGATGGAAATTTCAGAATTGGAAAGATCATTGAGGGTAAAGTAAAAGGAAATAGCCATAATCATCAGAACATTCACACTGAAATGCATTCTCTGCCATTATAGATTTCGATGCCTTGGCTGGTACCATCTCATGTAAACATACAGATGCCTTTTTAGGCGGACAGCCTATCACAGTTGTAACAGCCAGTGTAGATCGTATGGAACTGTTGATGCCCAATTCTATAGAGGATCTTAAAATTTCAGGGCATGTGGCTTATGTAGGAAGATCCAGTATGGAAGGTAGCGTTCAAGGCAATGATATATAGACCATCACTGATTATTTTCATTACAGTATTTGTCAAACTGGAAACAGTGAAGAATTACAGCCTAGAAGACCTCAATAACACATCACCTCCTGATAATTTTCTTGCTAAACCCACACCCAACACAATATTATTTGCCAGATTTACCATGGTAGCAACAAGCTCAGCTACTGGAAAACCTACCCGTGTTAACGCTCTTACTCTTCTTAACGAGGAAGAGCGCGAATTGATGGCATTTGCTGAAGATTGTAAGATGAGGAAGAAGAAGGCAACTGAAATTTCCTTGAATAAAGTTGCACCTACATCGGAAGAACGTGAAGCATTACATGAGATCTACATGAATTACTCGAAATATGATAAAAAGGAAATGGCACCTGAGAACACCTGTTGGATGGAAGATACCAAACTACAGAGTGTCATCTTGATGCAGCCTCAAAACCGAAATATTCATAACAATGTGTTTGGCGGATATCTGATGAGACGTGCCTTGGAATTGGCCCATGCTACTGGCACTGTGTTTGCTAAAGGAAATGTTGGATTAATGTCATCAGATGAAATTGTATTCAAGAAGCCAGTACCTGTTGGTGCCTTATTGAACTTGACATCACAAGTCCGTTATGCTGAGGGTGGAAACCATAGATCATTCCAAATAGATGTTACTGCTGAAGTGACAAACATCGAAACAGGTACAACAGATGTCACCAATACATTCCATTTCACTTTTGCTTCCAAGGATAAACCAGTACGACAGATATTACCAAGAACTTATGTGGAAAGCATTCTCTATTTAGAAGGTAAGAGCATAGTGTTCCAACTGATGATTAACTATGTGGCTTAACTAATGCATATCTATAGGAAAGAGAAGACGTGATAATGGTGTTGATGCAAAGAAACAGTTATTAGAGCTTATGAAGATCAACCAATAATCTACCAGCTCATATTTTTTTGCATAAAACATTCATGCTGTACTTCAATACCTTATTTATAGACTTAGATTTCGTTTTTTTTTCCTTCACACAAATAAAACTAAAAGCTCATTTTTATGCCCCCCTTGATCTGATCACTTTATGTATCTCCTTTTCGACATAAACCAAAAAAATAAAAACAAAATGTGGCCCGAACCGGGATTTGAACCCGGGACCTCCCAGATCCGAACTGGGTATGTTAACCACTACATTATCCGGGCGTTGAAAATTTTTTTGATTTAGGTGTTTTTACAACCCCAAGAATATTGTGAATAAACCCAATGTATCTACAACTGGGGGCTTATTTAGATGTAATCTAGCTGTTATTACTCTCCACGTAAGTATAGATGTCTCAGGTATATTTATAAGACAATACTGCATTGATATATATCCCAAGTAACACTGATATTAATACCCACTTATCCCTGTGATCCCTAGTCATGACGAAATGATCCAAAGCTTAAAAAGGTACTCATTCGAAACTGGGATTATTACTCAAACCATCAGCCAGTAACGAGATTGAGCATATTGTACAGAAATTAGCGATAAATAGGCAATAGATAGTACATAAGTGTCAAATAAACTACACCCAAGTAACCGTTTAAGCATGATGATCTCTAATGTACAACTCTACTTATGTAAAATATTTATCATTCTATACAATATTCCCTATTAGCATTAATACAGATTATCACAATATGTAAGATTATTAATAATTAACACAATGGATTGATATAGAAAGTAGTAACACATAATGAGATTCTACATGTATATGTTTCCGTGGAACAGAATTGGGCATGCATTTTGATAACAAGACCTCACTGATGAAAATGAAAGGGTCCAATTATATTTCATTTCCCCACTGAATCTCAATATTACTATGTATGGTCACTAGTAAGGAATTCTTATTCCATATGATTGATTTATAATATGATTATCCTCCCTTTTCAAATATGTTATATGGGATAGTGATTGGAGGGAAATTGCTTATGAGTGGTACAATCACCAGGATGTAAAGGGAAATGATTACTTATATGCTGTTAGACTAATAGTTACATATATTAGTATGATATACCGGTGGGAACATTTGACCTTAGTAATCATTTTCATTGTTCTCTCTTCATTTATCCATGCTCTCTGTGCTATTATTGACAGAAAGTATGATATTCAATCTATTTATAAATATAGATTCATTACCACATTAAGTAGCAAGAAGAAGGAGGTAATCAGAGTGTGAACGATGAGTATTTCTTATAAATCACATGTACAAACGTGCTGATTTTACTATTATAAAGGGACATTGCGCTACATAAAATAGTGTAATAAGTTACACACCCGTATTAATCAATGGCAATATAGAGACTGAGATATTCACTCCAATTAAACATATCAACTATAATTATAAATATTTTGACCCCTTCCCCTCTTATTGTTCCTTCTTTCTTCCTTGTTAATTACCCTGAACACCAACCATTCCCCATAAGTTTACTGTGACTTCAGATAGCGATTCCATATCTCTATCTTTCTCTCCTATACATGGAAGCTTACTATCATGCATCACAGTATAATCGCTGTCTCTATGATTCAGGCATAACGATTGATAAACCAGTTATTTCACTGCAAACACCCTTAGTGTCACCGCCTTCTTACTCTGCTGTCATGGCAGAGAAGTCTAGAAAACCCGCCAGTGAAATTGATATCAAGGTAAACTGAAACCACACTCAACAAAGCAATGTATTAACACGTACACACAGGCTAATGAAACAAAGAATATAATATACAATATGAGAAGATGTATGATAGATACACATATCATGCTAGCCAATGTACACATTATATGCCTAAAGTAAGATAAATATCACTGTGGGATGGGTAGATTAGTAACAGTATTCCTGCCTATTAGACTTGAAAGTAAAAACGATTATTTAATGGAGAAGATGAAGGATGTTTTACAGTCAGAGACGAGGTATGTTGGAACATTCCCATTCTAAAGTGTCCTTCATACAGAGTGATTTATGTGTATTTAATTTCTTAGTTACACCTCAATATCTGGTACTATATCACCCAGCCAATCGGATGACCTGCTTGGGGATATTGACCCGAATGATAGACTATCTTGCATAAATCATTCACTTGAAGCATTGATTGAGCAGGGAAAAGAGAGTTTGAGCACACATCTATCACTGCATAATGGGACTCTTCTTAGGCGAGTAGATTCATTCCCTCGATTCACTAAAATAAATAGGCCCGAGAGGAAGGAACAGAGAAGGAATAGTGGATCCGATATTATAACAGATAAAGAAGAGAGGCTAATTCAACAGAGGAAAAAGCAGAACCTGAGGTATGCTCATAGTCAACACAACCTGTCAGTTGCTATGAAGCAGCTTATGGATACAGTAGAAACTAACACTGATCCCATCATATCAAAATCTGCCAACTTATCAACACCTACCTCCCATTCACCTCATGTACATCATCATCATTATACCCAATCAACTGCCAATATCATCAATCCACTTCCCATTATAAATAATATACAATCACTCCCATCGACCCCTATCAAAAGCTTTACCGATTCTATCACATCATCCCTCATTAATTATGCATTAAACACAGTAGGCGTCAATCAATTCATTTACCCATCACGTAAACCCCAGAAAACAATAAACGCAGTCAACAGACCTGTCTTTATTCGTATGCTCTTTTACGCATCTCTCCTTATCTTATCTACCTTCAACAGTTACCCAGTATTCAGTCCTGTAAACCCACACTACATATCACATGGTACACAACTCATCATTCAATGGAATCAACGATCAAAAGAGCAATGCGCTCTATGGATACAATACATTCATTTATTAGCCTATGTAACCCGCTTCTTATAAGAATACCATATATGCATGTAAATAACCCTTATGTAAATATATATATGCTGTCTTCTCTGCTTTTTATCTAAAAAATATATACTGTAAATAAATGTTTATCCCTTTATATGATGCCCTAGTATAGAGTTCTCCAATAACTTCTGTCTCTTTTGTTTTTGTTCGATTGATGACTTGATACGATCTTTCCAAACACTCACTTGTCCATATTTTAATTTGGTGATTAAATCTATTGCTTGACCCTTTGTCATATCATTAGACACCTTAATATTGTACTTGGATATCAGATCACGCTGAGCAGTTGTCATGGGTGCATATCTGAATCGAGCATTTCTGTTGGACGCAAATAACGATTGATGGCCTAGTTCATGGCGCAACCAAGTGTCTGCTGCATGTATGGCTGATGTTAATGAATCAGCCGAAAATAGTGGTTTAGAGGGTTTCGCCCACCAATCTGAATTGGCATAAGCAAATCTGCCTTCCCATATTCCTATTATCATGCATCAGTAAATGCAAATTTTTCTTACTCATATAGTTGTCATTACCGTTAACTTTTTTCAGGGTCATATTGCCCTTGGATAAAACTTGCAAAATGCATTTATTCGGTCCCACACTTACCCAGGCTAAAGAAGACGCCTTTCTGATTTCAGGTGATGTCTTTACACTGTCTATCACTTCGTTCACTGAGTCATATTCAGTCACTCTAATCCTGATTAAAGAGGAAGCCAAATCATCCACCTCTTCATCCACCTCCTCATCAAGAAGCGTGGAGGCTAATGATATATCATGATCAATAAATAGTCTCCATAACATATGCATTACATACCTTTGTCGTATTGATGCACCACAAAAGGATTCTCAGGTGACCCATCTTCCTCTGCTGAAGCATTTATTTCATTCCCGGGAATCATCTGATCAATTATGTTATAAGATTCCAAGGCCATTGTTTTCAAGTCAAGAATATCTGCGCCTATATTAAATAAGAGTCAATTGCCTGATCGTGCTACTGTGAATAATACTCTATTTTACCCTCAAGATCTGTATCAATATTCAGTCCTAATAAAGTAGGAATGGTAACCAAACCATCAGGACCTGTTCTATGGAAACTATCTACATAGTCTATCACCAGGCAATCCTCTTTGCCTTCATGTTTCCTTAATCCTCTACCGAACATCTGTTGAAATAAGGTACTGGATCGAGTGGGTCTAGCCATAAGAATACAATCAATGTTGGGTATATCTGTACCTTCCGTCAAGATGGCTATAAAAGCGATCGTTTGAGTTAATCTATTTCTTATCATTGGTGGTCTATTCCTTACCACAATTAACAAGTACAGGGAATTTTCCTGCAGCAAAATCCTTCAAAATCTGATGTCGTTCAATAGCGGGAGTTTTGGCAGTAATGAATTCAGCAGCAATACCCTCCTTACGAAACATATTGCATAGTTCCTTTGTGTGCTCCACATCAACAGCAAACACAAGAGTTGATTTCCTACCTTTTTCGTCCGCAAATAACTTCCAACTGTTCATAATAATCTTGTTTCTGGCAGGTGTGTTTACAGCATTGGCTAAATCAGCTTGTTTGAAATCATCCCGTGAGCTACCGACATCACTTAAATCTGTGTATGTTTTGACAGTCGTTACTCTCATTTGACAGAGATGGCCCTCCTCTATCATATTGAGGAAATCAGAGTGATAGACTACCTTCTCAAATACTGATCCAAGACTGATACCATCATGCCTTCTGATGGTAGCAGAACACCCCCATACTAATATATTGGATTCCGGATCCAGTGCATTGAAATGGCTGAGGATGTTGATGTAAGTGGAGGCAGTTGCATGATGTGCTTCATCAATCAGGATAGCTTTGAATTGACTAGGATCATAGTTTTCTATTTTGGCTGAATTCTGTCTACCAATGGTAGGAACAGAGGCCACAATGACCTCTGCCAGTGCCATATCCACTTGCCTTTTTCCTTGTTCAATCTGAACATTCTTCATAATAATGTAGGTGAGTCAGTCTATCAAAAGTTTATACACAGATGTGTCAAATACCATCTTTGGATTGTATCTCAATATCTGGTTCTGTGCTTGATTCAATAACTCTGTTCTATGTGCCAGGAGTAACACTTTATTGGCGTTGGGGGAGGGTTGGGGTATGAGTGGAATGAGATGGGACATGACAACCTAGTGTAAGTGCTATGAGATACATGATACAGGATATAAAGCAATATGTATATATATATATATAATTACAGTCTTCCCACTTCCTAGTGCATAATTATAAAGTGTTAAATATGAACTATGTGTCAGTGTAGAGAAGGTATTTACCCACAGGTA